GATGAGGCTGCTGCAGGGGGGTCCCACCTGCCCCTGGGGGTGTTTTAAGGCTGAAGGGATGGTTTGCTGCTCGCACAGACAAACCCCCTCCCCAGTCAGTCTGCAAGGCAGGAGTTCTGCAGGGACACCCCACGCTGTCAGGAGCTGCAGAGAGCCCAGCTCAAGTGGGGCCCTGCTCCCAGGCATGCCTGGCACACAGCTATCAGTGGTAACAGCAAAGGCCACCCACGAGGCAAGCTGCTGAGCAGCTCAGGAGAGCTGGGGCTAAAACATCTGCCCAAATGTCCCAGATGAAAGAGAAGCAGAGAGCTGAACCCAGAGCCCTGAGTGCCCAGGCTGCCCGTGGAGGCAGGGCTCATGGCTCTGCCAGGATCAGTGGTGCCATGAGGTCCTCTCCAGGCCTGAAAAGGAGGCTCAGGGGAGACCTTCTTGTTCCTGACAACTCCTTCACAGGAGGCTGGAGCCAGGTGGGATTTGGCTCCTCTCCCAAGCAACAGGACAAAATGGCCTCAAGTTGCCCCAGGGGAGGTTGAGGTTGGATATTAGGATAAGTGTCTTCCTCTTGAGGGTTGCCCAGGGCTGTGCCAGGCTGCCCAGGGCAGTGGTGGAGTCCCAGGCTTGTGCCAGGCTGCCCAGGGCAGTGGTGGAGTCCCCACCCCTGGAGGGGTTTCCAAGCTGTGGAGATGTGGGGTGAGGGACACAGGGCAGTGGGGACCTGGCAGTGCTGGGGGAACAGTCAGACTTGATCTTGAAGGTCTCTTCCAACCAGAACAATTCTGTGATTCTATGAAAGTGAGAGGCCCGAGGGTGAGTGGCAGATGGGCTGTGGGAAGCAAAATTCTGGATGCTGGAGAAGGAAAGAACTCCCAAGTGGGAGGAGGTGACAAAGGGAGTAGCAGAGAGAACAGGCACAGGGCTGAATAACACAGGGACTGATGGGGGCTGCTGCTGCAAACGGGGTGAGAAACACACCCTTCACCCCAGCAACCCCTGTCTGGGGCTACAGCCACCTCAGAGACACCCTGGGAGGACCCTCGGGGAGGGGGAACGACTCTGCAGAGCAGAGCTGGGGCCCCTGCGAGGTCCAGGGATACTCACGATCTCCCACATGGACTGGGCTGGCATGCAGGAGTCGCAGTGAACCAGGGACTCCGTGGACTGGGGGAAGGTGTTGGGGACGCTGTAGCTGAAACACTGTCCCAGACAGGCCCTGCGAAGACAGCGAGGAGGGGGTGAGGGCTGGGGGGAGGTGCCTGCTCTCCCCAGCCAAGCTGGGAGGAGCTCTGAGCTCCCCGGAGCCTCCTTGTGGGACCCAGCCCGGCGTGTGCCCGGGGGGCAGAGCCGGCCCTACCTGTTCTGGATGGACTTGGACTCGCAGCCGCTGTGCCCCACGATCTGGGTGATGTTCTTGGCCTCGCACCAGGCGCTCTTGTCCGGGAAGAGAGCCAGCTTGTTGATGGGGGGCGGAGCTGCCAGCAGCAGCGAGGGGCAGAGGGCACCGACCACCAACCATAGCATCATGGCCAGCTCTGCCCAGAGCCTACAGCTGGAGACAGAGAGCAAAGCCTGAGCTGGAAGGGCTGGGGGCAAGCGGCCCCTTCTCCACCCCCACGGCAGATCTTGGCTGTGACAGGCACAGGGACACAACTGAGCAGCTGCCCAGAGAGGCTGTGGAGTCTCCTGCTCTGGAGAGATCCCAAACCCTCCTGGCTGTGACCCTGGGCACCCTGCTGTGGGTGAGCTGCTGGAGCAGGGGGTGGGATGAGATGATCTCCAGAGGTCCCTTCCCACCCCCACCATGCTGGGATCCTGTGATCTTCAAATCACCCTCCTCGAATCACCCCAGGCCGTGAGTGGGATGTGCTTCTCTGCCTCTTCCCTCTTCAAAACCAGCCCCGGGGCAGGCAGACACCTGCACGACTTCTCCTGAGCTTCGGTGCCAGGAGCAACAGCAGCCTTTTCATCGTTTCCCACCCAAAGTTGGGGAGAAGTTTGCAAATCAAAAGCCTCACCGCCGCGGGCTGAGCCGGGTCGGAGAAGTCGCAAACCGCGGAGAGGGTTTTTTTTTATCTGAGGAAGGAGCAGACTTCCCCACCTCCTTTTTCCCCACCTTAAAAGCCGAAAGCCAGAGCTGGCCCTGCTGCAAGCCCCGGAGCCGAGGGAGCACTCTCCCGGGCAGCAGAGCCTCTCTCCTCCTGGAATGGCGCAGCAGAGGTCGCTGCAAGGCAGCAGCAAGCGGGAGAAGCCTCAGCCCGGGGGCTGGAACCCGCCGCTTTCATTGCCACAGAGCCCCTCAAATTCAGCCCGCGGTGACTCTGAGGATGAGAACCGAGCCTGCGGACAAGGGGGGTCCTTTGAATACCAAGCACAAAGCTGGCTGGCGAAGAGGGGGG